CAAAAATTTTTGCATATTTGAAATGGCATGGTCAAGGGCTTTTCAAAAATGTATAATTTTTCATTTTTTGGACAAATTTTTTTTGCAAACATTTTTACTATTTAACTGGATTTTGCGATAAAAAATTCAATTTTTGCAAATTTGCAATTTTTTTTGCAAATTCTAAAAGTAGAGCACAAGAGCTTTCCAATGATGTATCATTTGTCATATTTGACATCAAACATGGGATTTAGAGGGGGGTCTAAATTGACCCCCCCCCAGCATATCCTGGTTTTCAAGTACCCCAGCAGAGATATTGTTAAACATGTTAATCTGGGTAAAGAGATTCCACGAGACAACAGTTCTCATTTACATAATGTTATCTTGAATTAATAAATATATGACTAAAAAAACTTAAAGAAATAAAACCTTTGAATCATATTTCTCGTTGTATCCATAGGTTTCAGGCAGGATATTTAATTCAGCCATAAACTCAGGACTCAGGATCAGCGGCAGCCATTCGTTGTAGGATATATGCTGAAAATGTATCATTATTATTATTATTATTGTTATTATTATTATCATTAATATTGTAATTATTGTTATTATTATTATTATTATTATTATTATTATTATTATTATTATTATTATTATTATTATTATTATTATTACTATTATTATTATTATTATTATTATTATTATTATTATTATTATTATTATTATTATTATTATTATTATTATTATTATTATTATTATTATTATTATTATTATTATTATTATTATTATTATTATTATTATTATTATTATTATTATTATTATTATTATTATTATTATTATTATTATTATTATTATTATTATTATTATTATTATTATTATTATTATTATTATTATTATTATTATTATTATTATTATTATTATTATTATTATTATTATTATTATTATTATTATTATTATTATTATTATTATTATTATTATTATTATTATTATTATTATTATTATTATTATTATTATTATTATTATTATTATTATTATTATTATTATTATTATTATTATTATTATTATTATTATTATTATTATTATTATTATTATTATTATTATTATTATTATTATTATTATTATTATTATTATTATTATTATTATTATTATTATTATTATTATTATTATTATTATTATTATTATTATTATTATTATTATTATTATTATTATTATTATTATTATTATTATTATTATTATTATTATTATTATTATTATTATTATTATTATTATTATTATTATTATTATTATTATTATTATTATTATTATTATTATTATTATTATTATTATTATTATTATTATTATTATTATTATTATTATTATTATTATTATTATTATTATTATTATTATTATTATTATTATTATTATTATTATTATTATTATTATTATTATTATTATTATTATTATTATTATTATTATTATTATTATTATTATTATTATTATTATTATTATTNATAGATAGATAGATAGATAGATAGATAGATAGATAGGTAGATAGATAGATAGATAGATAGATAGATAGATATATAGATAGTTAGATAGAAAGATATTATACATGGTGTGATGTACTTTATGATTGTAAAGAAAATTAAGAACAAATTGCATGCTGTTTAAATAACTATGTATAAAAAGTTGCTGCATGAAACCTAAGTATAAAAATATGTCGTGTGTAATTACCGAAAATATCTTTATCAACAATTAAGCAAGTTTAAAAATATCAAAAATATATTTAGTGTATTTTTTGTGTTGAATTCAACTGACTTTCTCTTTTTTCAAATGACTTTTTTTTGGGATGCAATAATTTTTAAACAATGCTAAAACACAAGGGTATACATGTTTATATACCCTTTTTCAAGGGCTATTCAATATGTTAATTTCAGACCAATTTTATCAGGTTTTTTGAAGATTTGGTGTTATGACCGACCTGGTCCTTACCCTTTGCCATATTGCATTAAAACAAAAGGTTTATAAGAATCTTGTCCCAGTAAAAAAAGTGTATGGGGGGGATAGTATGAGGGGGGGCAAAGATGAGAAAGGGGGGGGCATGGGAAACTTTAAATCTACTGTGTGAATTTATAAGCGTCAGTTCAGAACCGTTTAAAACAACAATGGTTATTATTAAGATGTTCATGTATTTGTAATTATTAGTCATGAATTTTATTTATTATATTTGTTTAAACCATAGATATTAATCCTTTAAAAGAGTTATTATTCAACTTTTATGTTTGCAAAGACATTGTTACTTTGTATTAAAGAGGGGTATAAAAATGTAACGTAGGAGCAAGATAATGCTTTTTTCAAAAAAGGGACAGGAGGAGGAAGGGGGGGGATTGATTGATTGATTTACAGCACTTATTTAAAACCTGTTATGTTCTCGGATCCAGACGGTATGGTAAGCTGCAAGTCCTGGCTGCTCGTTTGATCGTGAATCTCCTGTTTTTATTTAAAATATTAATAAAAGTATCTAATCTATCTTAAAATAGACATATTTTAAGCAAATTAATGAGAGATAAATGAATAAAGATAATAAAGATGAAAGTATTAGTGAATGAGGATGAATGAATAAAAGATATAAGAAATACAACTAAATTAATAAATGAATGAATATAAGTGTAATAATGAATGATAAAGTGATTAAAACTCAATGAACGGTAAAGTCAATACAACTCAAGGTATGGTAGAGTTACAACAACTCAATGGATGAATGAAAGGATTAATATAATACATAATACATAATACAATAATGAATAGTAGAATGAATAAAACTCAATAATTTGTAGAGTGAATACAACTCAAAATATGGTAGGGTTACTACAACTCAATGGATGAATGAAAGGATTAATACAGCTACAATAATGAATAGAAGAATGAATTTAACTCAATAATTTGTATAGAAATACAACTCAAAAAAAGGAAAAATAAAACTGTAATAATGAATGGTAGAATGAATATAACTCAATCGTTGAATGAAAGAATGAATACAGCTGGAAAGATAAATAGATATATTAGTCTCTTGTGAGTGAATGATTGATTGCTCTGTATATAAGTTACTGAATATGTTGGAGACCCCCTGTAGTTTTAAGCATATCGTATTCAGTACACAGCATGTATAAGGAGTGCGCTTTACAAATATTCAGTTCCTTCAACCACATACTTATACAATACCAGCGATAAAATTAAAATAAACAAAACGAAATATTTTTTTTCAACATTTATAAGTTCGTATAATGAGTTATAAAGCAAGCTAGAATATGTTGTGAGTTTGTGAATTTAAAGGAAGATGATAAGAATGATTTTATACCTCAACACCATTTACATACAGTTTTTAAACATCTATTATGCTTAGACATTACAGCATTGTTGATTTTAAAATTTGAGTGATTAACAACTTCTTTTTACCTGCTTTAAAGCATTTTTGGTTCTCTTTCATCTGCTTGTCTTCATCGATGAGACATTCATCCTTGGATTCACCCTCTTCCTGGGGGAGCAACTGTCTATTGTTATCTGGGGAGTAGAACCTCAAGAGTCCGTCAACCTTTGCCCTGGAACAATTTTTCAGTAAAAAAACAATTGATCTAAAAATCTTTTTTAATTTGTACCTAAGACTCAGGGCATCCTCCTCATCAGAGCCGTAAATGTTGCTTCCATCTAAATGATGAGTGATCTGGTTCATCTGCTCTCCATATCCAAAAGTACATCCCAACTGAGGTGCTGGCATTGATCGTACAAAGTGCATACATCTTTGGCCAAACTTGGAGTGGAAAGGATCATTCTCAGGTATTTCAATAGGGAAGCACTCAGGATGGAGAACCAGCTTACTTATTGGGGCGGATCCATCATCCATACAGCACTGAACTCCTGTAGCATTGTTGGATAGTCGGAAAAGAGGTGTGTGAGCAAGATCATGATCAACAAACTGTCCCCATTGCATCACATTGAGAGTATCAATCTCGCTAGGTGCATCCACATCTGGAACAATGTTGATAGAGACTAGACGAGCTGAAGGAAGAGGCGCTCCTGACTTAGCAACTCTGGGACGCCAGACACCGTCACTGTAGGCAGGAAGAAGAGTCCTCTGGAAAGGTGTATTGGACTGTCCCCACAGAGGCATTTCCAAGTTGTTACATGTTCCATCATAGCTTCTGTATGGATGGTAAGCATTGCACTGAGGAGGCTTGGGACAGGAGTCTTCAATCATGGTTCCTTCAATGGAGAAGGCATTAAGACCAAATCCTGCTTGGTCAGGGGTCAGAGAAAACCGACTTCCCAAGTCCTGGGACCCAGCGATGCTGTGCATAGCCATATCTGCCATTTTTCTTGTGATTGGTTTAGTTTCAAAAAGTGCAAAATGGTTAAACGCTGAAGATCCTTTACGAGCAAATACTCCGCGTCTCTCAAGCTCTCCCTCAAATTCAGTAACCCAGATCGTTTCTTGGATACCAACAAATGCAGCATGGTTTAGAGTGTATGCATCAAACTCCAAAGGAGATTCAGATCCAGGAGGGTTGGTGGCTCGCTTAAGAAGGCCTCTCTTCTCATCTGTAACAAAAGAAAGGCTCAAAGATGATATTTACCCCCACAACAAACAATTAAATATCCTGAATCATCAACCTTTAATATCAACTGTGCAGTGTTTAAACAATGATAAGTAGGGTTGGATCCAATGACTATTGACTATTGACCACCGTGCAAAAGTGCGGAGCAATCGAAACATCTGTCTAAGATTAGGGATATATAAGTGTACTTAATCAAACCATTAAAGATATATAACCATCAGAGGTATACAAAACATAACATCAACTGTGGCTTAGATATGGTGTGTCTGAATTTAGGTAACACATGGGGGTTGGGGNTGAAGGATGAAGGGCTAGGCTTTAGAATCAATGTACAAACAATTTTTTATCTGATCATTGATTTCATTTTACTGTAATCAATATTTCAATACTATTTTAGAAAAACAAATTGAAAACTAGTGCCGCAGACTAGATTTTGTATTAATGTTATTTTTGTTAATGCTCAAATACAAAAGTTTCAATATGTTGAAAAAATGTCTAACATAACAACATTTAATTCGTAAATTTTAATTTGAAATCTAATGTTTGGACAAAAAATACTTTATGGGCAAATTAGAAAGTTTCAATGTACAACTTATATAAAATATACAACATTTAGTGTTTTCACTTAGTCATGTAATAAACATTTTGAAACTTTTTTTTCAGAAATTATTTGAAATAAACTTTATACACCGTTAATAAAGCTGTCGAAGAAACAGTGGTGTGAAGTGGAAATTGGATAGAAATAGAAGATTTGTTTGATGGTTACTCAATCAAAACACGGAAGAATGAACACAATTTGCATATATGCATTATGCATATACATATGTGGGTGAGGGCAAAACATATTTTCTGTAGGCGTATACAAGCCTTAGAGTGTGAAAAAATTAGAGCCTAGAAAAAACACTTTGTTTGGCTCCATACTTTTTGTACTCTGTGGAACCAATAAATGCGTTTTGTTTCAAACATACGAAAAACTTTATATGTTTCAAATGTTTCATGAAAAACACGCTCAATGGTTCTTGATGCTAAATATACATTGATACAGATATTTCAAAAGTTTACAAAGAACGCGTGATGGTTCAATGAAGTGAGAAGAAATAGATTTGGACGTGTATTCTCAGCATGAAAGAACATAGGAAATATAAAAAGCCAATCTTGAATGCTTAAAAGCACGAGATAAAAGCGCCATTTTGTCTGCTGTCAGCTGCATTTCCGCATTTTGTCTGCTGTCAGCTGCATTCCCGCATTTGTCATTTATTCCCGCGTTTATCATTCAGCTGCACGTTTATCAAAGCAACCAAATGAGGGTGGATGGTGGGGAGGGTGCCGGAGAAGGGATATGTTGGAAGGAATGGGAAGGGGGGAGGGTACATATTGTTTTGTGTAAACGCGTAATTTAATGTAAAACCTTGATCATAATGGAAGAGATGAATGCCATATTGATTTTAAATAAACCCAAATATATTTTCTACAAGCCTCACAAGGAAAATTGAAAATGTCTGATTTTGAAAAGATTCACGGATTAGTGTCAAAGCAATCTGTATATTCAGACTTCAAGGTTAATCTTAATAGAGAGAAGGATAGAATATAAATTGATTCTGTTCATTTACAGATTATTTCATCCTTGGTTTAATGCAGTGGTCGGAAGTAATCTTTTGGTTACCTAGATATTTAGATAGATAGAAAGATATTGATAGATAAAAATATATAGATTGATACACGAGGGGTAGGAAGGTCAGCCGCAACCATTTCTAGTCCGAGCCACATTCTCTTCATTTTCTTGTCCGACCCACCTCGAAATCCTTGTCCTTCCAACATTATTTTTTTTACAGTGTTTAATATTTCAATGTAAAACTATTTTTTTAAGAATCAGGCCAGATTAGGGCATAAATGAAATATTGAATTTTTGTAAATCGAAAAAATAGTTTCAATTGAATTAAAGTTTTTCGAGTTTAATCTTCACCTTTTTTAAGCGCATTTTTTAGATATTCCTGCCAAGAGTTTAAAAATAGTTATATTTTCGATAATTAGAAATTTAAAGAAAACATAATAATCGAAGAACGAGGATTAAGAGGTGGCTCGAACGATAAAATGAGGATAATGTGGCTCGGAATAGAAATTGGTGTGGCTGGTCTTCGGTCCTCTCGATACACACATATAGGGAAAGTAATATATCTGCATTTGCATACACTATATCCTTCTACCCATTATATCTATCTATCAAAAAGATATATCTATCTATCTATCTATGTATCTATATATGTTATATATATATCTATATGATACATCAATGATACTGATTATCTGTACAATATAATTTGATAGCTCACTTTTACCAATATCTGTAATCGTATTTTTATTGTTCAAGAAATTCCGCCGAATTCCAATATTTTAAAATTTACGCAAAATAGCTTGAAATAACTTGAAATATTTGCACGAACTCACAAATACTAAGAATCAGGTTAAGCTATCAGCAGAATCCTGAAATTTCTTTTTTAACCGTTTCTGTTTTTTTAAAGGGACTGTTCCTTGTTTTCTGACCGAATTCTGAAACACTTGAAGCGACTGTCGACTTATTCTAAGTATTATATATGATTCACAATGTTCGCCGATTAACCCTAGGCTTTTATGCAACTTAAATGTATGCAACATCAAAGAAAAGAAAGCAAATTTACAGAACTTATTCTTTAGATTACAAGGTAAGGAATTGAGTCTTTGCCACAAAAGCTAATTTTCTAATCCATAAATCTTTGCAACCTAATGGAGTACAGGTTTGATATTTCAACCTAACAGATTTCAGAGTTTGAAATATCAAAGGTCTACAACATTTGGTTACAAAGATATATTGATTAGAAATTCAGAGTTTGTGGCAAAAACTCAATTCCTTTAACAGAGATATCGTTAAATGTTTACCACAAGGCATATCACTTGTTTAATGTACGGTTGCTAGAAGTTTCGTCGATTAACCTTTAACCCCTTTAGTTGACACTGTTGGACTCGTAAAACTATTTTGCAAACTCTACAAACTGTTGGAAACAGTTGGAAAAACAAAAAAGTAACCAGTTATAAATGGGTGTCCCCGAAAACTAATCTATTTTATACATATTTATTAGCGCATGTCATTAAAAACTATAAAATAATTCGATCAGATAAGACAAAAAAATGTTTTTATTTTCAGGTAATGCACATTCGTTCTCAGATATTTTTTTTAAAGATAATTTTTATTTTTATCATTTTTTTCCAAATATGCTTTTCTTCGATAAAACCTAAGATAGAATAATTCTATAAAGTTGTATAATTCTATAAATACGGATGCTTTTTGAGGAACCAATATTGAGAACAAGCTATTAAGGACGAGCTATTGAGAACAAAATATTAAGGACGAGCTATTAAGAACAAACTATTAATGACGAGCTATTGAGAACAAAATATCAAGGACGAGCTATTAAGAACAAACTATTAAGGACGAGCTATTGAGAACAAAATATTAAGGACGAGCTATTAATGACGCAAATATCAAGGAAGAATTATTGAGGACACACCATTAAGGACGCACTATTGAGGACAAACTATTGAGGATGTACTTTTGAGGACACATATTGAGGACAAGCAAAAGTGTAACATTACCACATATTATATATTTTATAAAATAAGCTGAAGATATAAAAAATACTTACATGAGGCCTTTTTCGGAGGACAGCAGACCCCAGGGGTTGAAGGGGCAAGGTAACAGGGGGCAGTAGGATCATACAGGGACTCTAAATAGTAGGGGGCACACAGGGAGGGGGGCACACAATATCTAAACAAACGAAACAATATTTTAAAAGAGAAAAAGGTGTTATTTATAAGAAAAAATATATTTACCCGCCATTAGCGCAATATGGGGCAGCGACGGGACCGTAAGGTGCAGCTCCAAGATGAACAGCGTGGTGTGCGGCATCAGCCTCAGCGTCGGCTGCGACACAGCCCGCCAAAAGCAGGATTATCCACATTCTAAAACATATGAAATGAATAACATGCTTTCAAATGTGTACCCCCCCCCCCTTAAAAATCACATCTTTTTTTGTGTATACAGTGTAACACTGACGTCTGACACTCTTTCATTGAGCTTTAAATACTGCTTAAGCTTGGAAACCCAGCTTTGCCTGAAAATAAAAATGTTCCCGAAACAATTGTTATAAAACCCGACTTAGATTTTTAAACAAAGCTAAGAACATTTGCGGGGTTCTATTGAGGTCTCCAATGAAATTTGAGGCAAATCGGTCAAGAGGTTCATGAGTTTTGATCAGAAATCAAGAAAAAAGCTATAATTATAATTGTCATACCTTCCAGGCTAAGCTGGGTTCCCAAGCTATAGTTTTCCTACTTTTAATATTCATATTTAATAGTTTTCATCCGGCATTGCTTTGATCTAATTAAAATGATACAGATTTATATATCTAACATTATGTTACGCTTCAATTGTTTATAATTGTATAACTGTATTTATACATTCCAACTCATGGAACAGTTGTATAAACTGTATTATGATTGATAGAATATACATTTCAACCCATGGGACAGTTGTATAAACTGTATTATATTGATAGAATATACATTTCAACTCGTGAAACAGTTGTATAAACTGTATTATATTGATAGAATAAACGTTTCAACCCATGGAACAGTTGTATAAACTGTATTATATTGATAGAATGTACATTTCAACCCATGGAACAGTTGTATAAACTGTATTATATTGATAGAATAAACATTTCAACTCATGAAACAGTTGTATAAACTGTATTAGATTGATAGAATATACATTTCAACCCACGAAACAGTTGTATAAACTGTATTAGATCGATAGAATATACATTTCAACCCATGAAACAGTTGTATACACTTTATCATATTGATAAAATATACATTTCAACTCATGAAACAGTTGTATAAACTGTATTAGATTGATAGAATATACATTTCAACTCATGAAACAGTTGTATAAACTGTATTAGATTGATTGAATATACATTTCAACCCACAAAACAGGTGTATAAACTGTATTAGATTGATAGAATATACATTTCAACCCACAAAACAGGTGTATAAACTGTATTAGATTGATAGAATATACATTTCAACCCATAAAACAGTTCTATACACTTTATTATATTGATAGAATATACATTTCAACTCATGAAACAGTTGTATAAACTGTATTAGATTGATAGAATATACATTTCATCCCATGGAACAGTTGTATAAACTGTATTAGATTGATAGACTAAATTATCATAATATCTCCTGAAAAATCCTATTTTTTCTTTAAAAACTACAAAATAGGAGGACGACTTTTAGACTTTATTTTTTTATCGATTTTGATGGTTATTATATTGTTAGAACTGACGAGGGTCAACCCAGACCTAAATATATTTTCAATAAATGTGGAACTAATATCTACTTTTATACTCTACAGAGGTTTAATCCATCACCGAATTTTAAATTTATTTATGACTTTAAATAGTTCAATTAGTATGGGACACAGCAATTGAGTAGTGTAAACAGACCCATTTCCCTAAATTAGTGATTTAATAGTAAAAACTATTAGCTTTGAAAAAACATCAAAAACTCTTAAATATTGCTATAAAGTCGTCTTCCTATTTCAGAATTTTCTGGTTATCACTGTATAAAAATATCTAAGATTTTTAGCACTGATTAAGATAAATCTGATCATAGATTACGATTTTCATAATTCTTATTATGTATCTTAAGTTTAAATTCAAAAATTCTTATTAATAGAATTGGCTTGTTTGGTTCAGCCGTATTCTTGTTTGCATGGTATTACAGCAGAATTGGACAAAAAGTGTATATACATAGAAATGAATAGATAGAAAGATAGAAAGACAGAAAGATAGATAGATAGATAAGATAGTTAGATAGCCTCTTTAAGACAAACACTGTCTGATAGGTCTTTTATTGAGTTCTAATTCCTTGGTTTTCCAACATACGAGTCATGCAATTTACTGCTCAATAAATTTGCAGATTTTCGCAAAACACAGCATATGTTTTTGTTAACCACCAAATAAGAATAGCTATAACAGTAAAACTAATTTGAATGCGCAAATTATAGCTCGTTTTCACTTTCATTTCTGGTTTTGCAGATTTTTGTATCTCAAGGATTAATTAAGGTTTGTTCAGAAATATTCGCAAATTTGCAAGGTGGTAAAATCCAGTTTTTGCAAACATAAACAATGTAAATGCAAAAACCAGGTGTTTTGAACATCCTTATGCAACTGCAAACTTATACCATAAAAGTCTTCATATGATTAGATATGAAAAGCCAACAAAAAAGTTATTAGGATGATATTCTAATAAACATCATGAAACAAATGAATTTTTTATAATTTAAAGAATGAAAAGTACAAAAAGACAATTTTGCAAAAAAAAACATCATGCTGCAAGATGACCAAAGGAAAAAATATATTTAAATTACAACAAAAAGAGCTAAGAATAGCGAGAATTAAATGTTGCAATGTGTCCAAAGCTTTGAAAATATAATGCTGCAACAAGACCAAATTGTTTGTATTTGCAATGGACAAAGAGACATCATCATAAAGTGCATTGAATCACGATCAAATATAAAACCCCCATGGCTCTTGAAGCTGTTAATTTGATATTTTAAAACAAAAACTGTTAAAAAATTTGATTTATAGAACCTGGTTTCAATTGTGTAACTCAAGTAGACATTTGATTTTAAACAGATTGTAATATTTTTTATACACTGAAAGGGACTGTAAGAGTAATTGTATACACTGAAAGGGACTGTAAGCTTAATTTTATACACTTAAAGGGACTGTAAGCGTATTTTTATACACTTAAAGGGACTGTAAGCGTATTTTTATACACTTAAAGGGACTGTAAGAGTAATTTTATACACTTAAAGGGACTGTAAGAGTAATTTTTTGAAAATACGCGCACACTCCCTTTATTTCAACATTCTTTAGAGTATACAGTGGTGCCCAAGAAAGACTACTTTTAGATCCAATTAATGGTCTTTTGTATTCGCCATGTTTTCAAATGAATTTGTTATTTATTATATCATGAGTAACGTTTGTTTTTAAGATTAAATCACGTAGGAACAGTTTATTTAATAGATTCACTATTATTAACTTTGATAACACTTTTTATAAAATGATTTTGCAATTTCTCCTAATATTGCATTCATCATTCACGTAAATCCATCATTTTCTTTCTAAACAACGTATTTTCACATAAGATTAACTGCAATATACACATTTTCTGGTGGAATGGCGAAAATGATTCGCAGTACAGTGTACACGTGTTAAACTTGTCAAAAACACGTGTTACGCTTGTCATAAGTGTCAGAGTTTAGATTTAAAAGATATTTCCTAGTTTTTCAATAATTTTCTCCATCAAAATTCTATATTTCTAGAATACAAACAAATCATTATAGAGAACCTTTAGCCCTAAAAAGGCTAAGGGGGGGGGGGGTTACTGTACTGTTGTCTATATTTTTGAGTGCATTAATGAAAATAAAATAGTTCTTAACTTTAAAATTATTTGAAAAAACAGATTTATTACTTACATATAAATAAGAAGCCCTTGAAAAATGAATGTACGTAAAAACTCTCATTTAATTATTTTTCAAAAATACCTATAACATATTTCCAACATTTCTTTTCAATTTTACAATCTATATAACTGTATAACGTTGTTTTGCATAAATCTGTTTTCATAGATTCAGATCTCTCTCCCAGCCCTTTCAGGACCACAGCCCCCCACCCGGCCCCGATAACTCAGTTAGATAAAATTGTATTTAGTTATGATGTATCTATAGTTGCATTAAACTTGGTAAAAAACTTGGATGAAGTGCAGAAATTTACGAATCTTTTTCCAATGCTTGAAATTGAAGGTTTAGCTTGGATTATGTATAATTTTTTACCAAGAGATAATCAAAAATTATAAGACAAATTGTTCTAAACCTTTGTAAATGTACTATTAAAACTTTAAGAAATAATTAAAAATTATTAGAAAAATTGTTCTAAACCTTTGTAAATGTACTTTTGAAACTTTAAGAAATAATTACAAATTATTAGAAAAATTGCTATAAACCTTTGTAAATGTACTTTTAAAACAAGGAGATGCTCAAAAATCATAAGAAAAATTATTATAAACCTTAGTTAATTGTTCTAAACCTTTGTAAATGTACTATTAAAACTTTAAGAAATAATTACAAATTATTAGAAAAATTGTTCTAAACCTTTGTAAATGTACTTTTTAAACATAGATATACTCAAAAATCATCAGAAAAATTGTTCTAAACCTTTGTTAATGTACTTTTTAAATCAAAGAGATACTCAAAAATCATCAGACAAATTGTTATAAACCTTTGTAAATGTACTCTTAAACCAAAGAGTTAACCACAAACTGGTTTAACGCTCTGAAATTGTGCTTTTAAAAGTTTAAGATATAGATCAAGCTATAGTTTTAAATAGAGTACACCAAAAAATTTAAAATCTTAAATTAAGTATACCAATGCTGCACTTTAAATGATTTGTGGTTGATTAGTAACCAATAAAATAATCATTAAAATTTTAAAAACTGCAAATTGAAACCTAGGTTTGATAAATGATACAAAATAATGAATTATGAGACAAACCTTCAAAGAATATGGTTTTTCCAAAATATAGCAATTTTAAATGTGCAAAATGTAGGTAAAAAAAGTGCGTAACGGTAAAATATAAGTTATGTAATAACAAAACAATTCTGACGCAGTAAATTTTATAAATATTAAAAATAATATTAAACCCTGGTCCAAAGGAGCAACTAGGGTAAATATATGGGGGGGGGGGGAAGGTCTGTGTCTATACAAAAATGTTAAAAAAGAAATTTTTAGAATGAAACCCAATCACTTTTTCTATGACCTTAACAAATTCTGAGTCCAGAATGAATTCAATTTTTAACGGATTCTGAATCAAAAGGCAAATCCGTTTTTTAGCTGAATTGGGTTTTATAAAATGTTAAATCTGTATTAAAAATCAACTGCATTGGAACCCATATAACTGTGGAATGTGAGGACGACATTTGAGCAAATTTTTTATATTTCTTTACCTATTCCACAGCTTTATGGGTCTCACTTTGTACGTTTTCTTGGATCCGGTTTATTAAAAGAATCGATTGACTCAGATAGATGTTGGATCGAAACTGAATCCGGATCTTTGATATTCCCATCCGGATCATAATTGATACATCTGAATCCGGATCTATAGGTTACATCTGAAACCGGATCTGGGAATAATTTTAACCCCGATTTTCAAAAAAGATTCATACGCTATAAATTCCTAGAATGTAAGAACAAAATCCCCGAATGATTCACATTTCCGAAAAAAAAAAGATTTTAAAATTTTTCAAGGAATGTAATTATTGCGTGCAGATTTGCAAATTTTACGCTTCATTCATTTTCGCAGAAGAAAATAGCAATGACTTGATACAAACTGTCTGCATGAGTTCAGTCAAACTTTTTGGTGATAGGAGGGTTTAAAAGCTGAACTTTGTGTAAAATACGATGTTAAAACAGATGTTAATCCTTTCTATTCAACATTAGAAGAATTTTAAAAAAATGCTTTATTAGCATCCCAGGTTTGGAACATTTTTAAACCAAAATATTAAGATCGACAAATGTATAATTTGCAGTGTCCTATGTCATGGTTTTACTTAAAAAATACCCTGAAGCGCAAAATGTTAAATATTATGACATTAAGGTGGTATTGTTATAAATTGTTCAACTTAGCGCCTTAGGATGGGAGGGGAAAAGGGGGGAATACAACCCATTACAATTTCAAATAAACAATCGGTTGAAACAGTTATATCATTGTTTAGAAATACCAAGTCTTACCTAATATAACACAATAAAACGATGTACTTTCAATTTTATTTTTTTAGAAAAAAGAAAAATGAATAATCTAATTATCATTTAATACAAATTAAACCATTTAATTCATCTTTAGAAACCTCACATGCCAAACATCAATAGAAATTAAATGTAAATCAAATGTAACACATTAAAGAAACTGTAGACGTAACTTCAAGTCATCCCTAATTTAAAGAACTGTCAGATTCGTAATCTCCTTCAATAGCATTTATTCTCCTTGATCAGATAAAGGTTTAAAGGGTATCGTTGAGATTCGAAATTTACTATAAACGAAGGGTCAAAATTAAGTGGACAGTCCTTTTAGATAAAAGCTCATTTTATTTAATTTAAGTGAAACTAAGCACCTGGCTTAAAATCAAATTGCCTAATCCTAATCTAGTTTCGTAGACTTTAGATACATTCAAAATATAAGTTCTACAGGGGCCAAAGTTTGAAATATCAGAGGTTTACATCAGGATGCAAAAATATACATGGGGATTGGAACATTTTGATTCAGCAAAAATGTTAAACATTTTTTTTCGTATTTTCTATTGATATGTTAGAAATTATTATTTTTCAGGTCACACAACTTTTTGTCACCTCGTATAAAAATGTATTACTCCAAAACGAATATTTCCCCCTTTTTTATCTGAACTTTACCTATTTGTACTTTTGTCTGAAGGGGAGAAGGATTTGGGGGATTTCTAAGTACTTGACACACAACGATGAAGGAAGTGGGGCGGTTAAGTGATTAGACATACATTCAATGCATTAATAGTTTATGGTTTCGAAGCAGAAGTTGAGTACCATAAATACATATATATTACAGGGCAACATATATATTATATTAAAGGGCTACCCATAAATACATATATATTAAAGGTCTACCCGTAAATACATATATATTAAAGGGCTACCCATAAATACATATATATTAAAGGTCTACCCGTAAATACATATATATTAAAGGGCTACCCATAAATACATGTATATTAAAGGGCTACCCATAAATACATATATATTACAGGGCTACCCAAAAATTCATATATATTAAAGGTCGACCCATAAATACATATATATTAAAGGGCTACCGATAAATACATATATATTAAAAGTCTACACATAAATACATATATATTAAAGGGCTACCCATAAATACATATATATTAAAGGTTTACTCATAAATACATATATATTAAAGGTTTACTCATACATACAGATATATTAAAGGGCTACCCATAAATACATATATATTAAAGGTCTACCCATTAATACATATATATTAAAGGGTTACCTGTAGCGACGCAAAATAACAAAGATATAAAACGGACTGACTATATATTTGTTTCTAATTTACAACATGAAAATCAAACTGAATAAATATGTTTGGTTTGGACTTCAGAGCTTCCGCCAATCAGCTGGTAATCCAGGGTCTCCACAGGGGTCCCCCCAGCATCGAGGTGATGAAGACGATGAAACACTTGATGGTTATCCCGGACTCTTCTTCGTGGGTTCCTACGAGCCGGGAGAGGAGAAAGCTCTTGAGGTGAGAACTGAACCTTCTTATTCATTCCAGGGGCTCTCCGGAGAGGTGCTGGAGAGGCAGGAGCCAACGGAGCCGGAGCTGACGGAGCCGGAGCTAATGGAGCCGGAGACGACGGAGGTCTTCCACGTCGGGGAGGCTGCTGAGGAGTAACTGGGTGATCTGATAGTACAGGTTTAAGCCGATCCACGGAGACAGAGTCAGACTTGGAACCAATTTCAACAAGAAAATACTTTGGATACTTGGAGAGGACTAGATATGGCCCTCTATATATTGGAGATAACGGAGGTTTTGATGCATCCTCTCTGATAAAAACATGAGAACAATTAGCTAAACTTGAAGGGATCTGGTCTGGTTTTGTGGCTGGAACAGCAGAGTGATGAGGTAGGACTGATGTACTGTTCTTCAGGATAGACTGGATTTTCCTGAGATACTCCGATGAGGGGAGCTCTGGAGTGTCTAGAAATTCTCCGGGTAAAACCAACGGAGAACCAAAAAGGGCTTCAGAAGCGGAAACAGATGAATCTTCTCTAGGAACAAAACTCCCAAACAAAACTCCTGGAAACCAGTCTTCGTGAGGCACGTTTTCCAGGATGAGAAATTTTGTGGATTGCATTAAAAACATTCTTTCTCATAGCCTCAGGAACCAACGGACGGTGGACTCCTGTAGAAACGTCGCAGAGCAATTCCTGAGAGTTGGAAACAGGGACGGAGACAATCTTCAAAGCTGAGGACTGGCGGAGCTGTTGGACCTTCGTGCATGATTGTTGGAGCGCAGACATTTGTATATATGAAACACCAGGAACTGTTGGTGGGAGAGCAGGAACCAGAGGAACAGAGTTCATCACAGGATCCGTCACCACCTACACCTCAGGGACTTGATCATCAGAAGGATAAACTTCAGGAGAAAAACTTGACGGAGCAGGCTGAGGAGAAAAATCGGAAGGTTTTGACACAGGTTTCGGAGCGGAGCTAGCTTTAATTGGACTCGGAGAAATCAAGGACGGATTTGACACAGGTTTCGGAGCAGAGCTATCTTTAATTGGACTCGGAGAAATCAAGGACGGATTTGACTCAAGGATCGGAGTGGAGCTAGGAGAAACTGGATGGGACAGGGCGTCTGCTACTACGTTCTCTGTTCCTGGGAGATGACGGATGACGCAGTTGAACTCAGACAAGAATGACAGGCGGCGCTGCTGCATGGCGGACCAGGGCGGAGAAGTCCTGAACAAGGCATGAGTTAGAGATTTGTGATCAGTAAATAAAACAAACTCTTTACCTTCTAGGAGGAACCGGAAATGGCGGAGGGCGGAATAAGCAGCAAACAATTCTCTGTCAAAGGCGGAGTATCTTGTTTCGGCGGAAGACAACTTCTTGGAGTAGAAAGCAAGAGGAGCCCAAAACCCAGCAACTTCTTGTTGAAGAACTGCCCCTACATGAGAACCTGATGAATCCACAGCGAGAGAAACCTGGGCGGAGGGGTCTGGATGAACCAGGGTGGGAACACTTGAGAGGAGAGATTTGGCCGCGGCGAATGCTTGGTTCATCTCCAATGTCCAGGATATAGTTGATACTTTTCCCTTCNACCGTCGGCGGTTCTTAACTGAACTCCCACACCAGGAGCTCGAGGTTGCTGAGGAAGATGTGGATAGACTGACACAGAGGCTCCAGTGTCAACCAGAAACTTGCGAGAGGATAAAGTATTCTGCAAAAATATAAGATTTGAGGAAGGAGAATCGGCGGGAATTGCATTTAAATAATCCCCGCCGCTGACTAGTTTCCCGAACGGGAACAGGGAGCTCGAGCTCGCGCAATATAAATTAATTATTTCCACCACCCGGGCAAATATCGGAAACCACCCCCGACTGTACGGAATTAATAAATATATATACTGATCTGTCTGTCTGTCTCTTTGTAACCAATAAACGTCAAAACGGCTGAACCGATCAGGCCCAAATTTTGTGTGGGACCTCACATGATCCAGAGTAGATTTATGTTTGATAAAAATTTCAAAAAATAGCTCCTACAGAATTCAATTTTTTAAAGTAAAATTCATGAAGTTTTTTGTTTTTGTTTTACGACTTATACAAAGAAAAAACGTTCAATTGAAATTGAAATTTCAGTTGAAAATTATTTCATATTCTTTAACATCAAAATTAAAACTCTACACTGACGTGTTTAACTATATATAATGTATATTCATATCATTTTTGGTACAACTAAATTAACTAAACAACAGCGCTGCGCATTTTAAATTTTAAATTAAGTGGCAGAAGTGTTTTTGTATGGTATTAGAATAGTATGCAAAATCACTGCAATCAAATGCTTCAAATAAAGAGAGCAAGAGTCAGCAAGATAGACTGTCACCCATCAGTCATACCTATATAAACCATCTATTCAATATAAGTTGTAGTGTGATTTGACACAATTATAAATTGAGATCTAAACCATAAAAGTTGTGTTCAGTAAACATAAATTTAACAATATCTAATAAAATCTATTTCATTCAAGCTCGCAATATTATGTTATTAATAAATATTTATAAAATACTAAAACTATGTTTATAAAACGGAACCTGCTCTTTCGACAAAGGATTCGCCGCGGATTTACAAAAAGTTTTCGTGGATTTCTTGAAATTTCTTTTCAAAATCTATATCAACATGCAATTACACATGTTTTTTGATTACTTTAATTTTTAAAAGTCATGAGAATGAAAGCCAGCATAATTCATTAACATTTAATGATAGGTAATTGTATGACACGTTTGTCTACTTGTCTTATTTCAATGGCTGTTTCTAGATCAAATAAGTTTTGAAACAAAGCATAAGTCAAATTATAAAGTTGAATTCAATTTTATTTTCATTTCAATTGAAAAAGTATATTTTGGAGAATTCCGGGAACCAATCAAAACATTATAGCACACGTGCTATAATGTACAGCTAATTTAACTTTCTAGCAAGATGATTACTTTATAGCACATTTATTATGAAATTCACGATGAAGTGAGTAATAATGTTAAAGTACACACTTGTTTCATAAATGTTTATGTTGTCTAGCATTCTGCAGATTTATTCCCATGGATGACAATTTAAACAGAAATTTACGTCTGCAGTTAAATTGTATAGAAAGGATGGCATGCTAAGATTACTCAAAGCAAGGTTTTAATGCAAAGAACGTTATTTCAGATGTGTACGCATCTTTTGTACTGCAGTGTACTGTCTCTGGGCGGTAATGTAAATACAAGTCGGATGTCACAGCCTAACATGGGATCCATCTTTCACATAAAAAATCAATGAAATATTCTGGTCATAGGAAACTATTATATAAATTATCAAAATTTTCAAAATTCAATGCTTTTATCCTCCTCGGAAACTAAACGAACACTGTTGCATCTATTCTTGCTTAAAATTCCGCCCAGAGAGAACTGGTTTCAATATGTACGTAACTGCAATTAACTTTCCTTGCATTATAACCTTGACTCGAAGTATTAATTATTTTGTTTATACAATAAAACTTACTCTATGAGTTTTACGGTAATATAAATTTCCGTATAGCACTTCAATATAATGCATGCAATTTAGCCCAGATAAAATTATAAAAAAACGACAGTTTAAAAGAAATATATTGGATTAAAGTTATTACAAATTCACAAAAACTTGCTCCACCAAAATCATCTTTTTCTAAATCGATTCCCATTCCTATACCATTGAAGTTTTCATCCTTTAGGACCCCCTGTCACTCCTTCTAGAAAAGAGCTCAACTTCCTTAAAATAATCACCCTGGTAGAAATCACACCTCAGCCCCCCCCCCCCTTACAAACAACCAACTATGTATTCACTAAGGACCAAGATAGTCAAGGTTACAATTTTTAATGTTGAAATAAATCAGAAAGAAGAGAACCTTCCTACAAAATTCATTTTTCAGTAAATGTTTTGTCTGAAAATGGCAATGCATGAAACGTGCCTTAGACTTCCCATGTTTGATGTCAAAATATGACAAATGATACATCATTGGAAAGCTCTTGTGCTCTACTTTTAGAATCTGCAAATAAATTTGCAAATTTGCAAAAATTGAATTTTTTATCGCAAAATCCAGTTATAAAGTAAAAATGTTTGCAAAAAAAAATTTGTCCAAATAATGAAAAATTAAATATTTTTGAAAAGCCCTTGACCATGCCATTTCAAA